TGGCAAACAATTTGCAATATTAAATCTAGTATTTACCATTTATTGTACTAGGATTTATTTTTAATAATTATAAAATATTGATAAATTAATATTAATTACCCCAATTTTCCGATCATCATAGTTTTCATATTATCTTAACTTATTATCGTGGATATAATATTATTCTTAATATCTAAATTTAAAGAACTAAAAAACTGCTCGTTCGAATTTTAACTTTGGTAGACACATCGTTATCTTCATAAAAGTCATATGAATCAACAATTCTCCGAAACATATTAACTATCATTTGAAATTAAAAGTTTGTATCCCTACAGGACACATAAATAGTATGATAATATAAATAATTGAAAATATTATAGTCCTCATGTATATTTCCAAATATTCCAACAATCTGAATCATAATAAACTTGTTATTAAAGGATAAATTGTAGTTGGTATGCTGGTGTGATTCATCCTATATATTTATATTATATTTATTATTTTGTTCAACGATTATACCAGTTACAACCAGTGATTACTTAGACTGCATTCTACAAAATATCAGAGGTTAAAATACTTTTAAATATAAGAATTTTGTTTATGGTTGAATAATAACGGGAAACAATTTTTATTTTTTTAAAGTAGTTTGAGGAAAATACTGTAACCTCACTAGATTTTAGGTCTTTCAATATTAATACTCATTTTTTATTATGATATAATGTAATAAGTGTAATATTCAATATTATAATAGATATTTACGAAAATTAACTAATTAAAATAATGCATCTATAGAAAATAAGTGTTCATTATTGTATACTGTTATTTTATTTTAGTTAAGTACTTTAGATTGTTTTAAATATAATCAGTATTATTTTTACATATTATTATTATTTTAAAATTTAATAATCAATGGCTCTTATTTAACGCAATTATATCAGTCGTGCCTTCCCTAAAAATGGCCTATAGCGCAATATTGTTTTATGAAAATGTAATTTCAAGGGAAATTTGTAAATTCCCACACATTTTCAACATTAATTGGTTTCCATGAATACTTGTACAATTTCCTTATTTACTGCAAAAGTGTAAGACCTGCTTATCAATGTAACCATTGTCTCATTGGAACTACTAATAGTTTGTTTATACCTATCTATATTTCTTGTATGTCTTTAAAAATTAAAGTCGTTTATTAACTTGATTTGAACTACAGTTACGTACAGTTATTAACTGCATCAGAAGTCAAAACTGTAAATCCATTAATATTTATTTTACGGCCCATTATTTTCAGTGGATCCGGTTTATAGGGGAAATTGACAGTATTACCTAACATCGGTTGGTTTTGACATTGGCAGGCGATGAAAATAAATCTCTAGTATTGCAGTTATTCAATAATAACCTCACCGTAACACTAACACATCAGTTTTGTGAACGAACTATACAGGGTGATTTACAAAGCATTTCTGCATCAATGATGCAGTCATTTAAAATTATTTGTACTTACTTAAAGATTATATATTTTTTAAATTCTTTAGATTTTCTATACTTCTTAAGAATAGTTTCCTTTGAAGATTCACACTGTTTTCAAATAACAACCTCGGTTTTCTACTGTAAATTATTTAGTGAATCATTTTTCTGACCATTTCGACTATCAGAATAAAAATTACTGTAGTTTTTGAGTTGCTTAGGCTTGGGTAGATATTACGAATAGTAGGTTTATTCTTTATGATAGTGGGTTTACGAGGGCTTTATAGATATTTAAAATTTTTAAACTTTTAGTCATTTCTATTAATCTATATTCATTCATTTAAATCTATATAAATCTATTTTTGTAAAGCCGTGTGTAAGGACTATTATTCTTAGTATAAACATATTTATAACTTTCATTTGAAAAACAGAAGTTGATATACAAAGTTGACAGTATAAAAAAACCTCAAAATTCAAAGATACAGTCTTCAATTATAAATTACAGAATCAGAATTTAAATTAATTTATTAAATTTAAAAATGAGAGTGAGCATGATGGTATATTTATCCTACAGTACCTTTGTACAAAAATATATCCGTTACATACCACCTAAAATTCACGATATAATATGAAAATTATTTGGATTAAATTAATATTACCCAACGTGAACTTCACTGGTGCGAATTTTCATTCCGATACGTGTCTTTATTTTAAAAGCTGGTATTTTTTTTACAATTATCACGTGTTAGGAGGCGTTTCCCGATAATCATTCGGATTGCATGCGCCGCTAATAATAATTATTAACTGTACTGGCGGATAAACGTTTACCTACGTGTTTATAGCGTCAATCTCTTGGTTTAATTGTGATCAGATTGCTTGGATTAATTTTTTTTTCCTCGTTTACTTTTTACTATAGCCCCAAGCTCGTGGTTGTTGTAACTTTCCTACTCGTAGGCGGTGGTGGTGTAAACTTTTTTCCTATACATTTCGCCTAACCTTAAATAAGTACCTACCTACACACCAATTTTTTCACATTTTACACTTATTTTTCACACATTTTAAACGTAGATCATATGCAACTATGCGAGGCGAGTATAAATTATAAACTAGTCTAGCCGTCTTGGAGCCTGGAATCATTGGGGTACCCACCCCTACTTTTAGACGAAGCAGTCGCCTTGTAAAAAACTCCACCACTGCTCGTAGGTAAACTGAATAATTATAATATTGTCCATTTATCGCAGTGCGTGTGCAGTGCGTTGTCTTCGTCGAGAGAAAGTAAATAATAAATTAAAAGAACGATTCCACTATAATTTTACACCGCGATTACAATCCTCGAACGAGCGTAAAAATAAGTCTGGCAACTATTGGATAAATAAAAAGTCTGTCATGCCATCCAAGTGTATTATGTTATGAAAAGAAAATAGAAGCATATGATCGCGAATAGTGGATACTGCGTACAAATTATTATAGTAGTTTTAGTAAGATCTGACCTAACCGGAACAAGTTTTGGCTTGTATAATTTACCATTATAATATACTAGATATTTATATTATATAGTACTAGTCTGTGTGTATGTTTCAAAGTGCAACTCTATCGGTTACCGCTGTTTCTTTTTTTATCACCCTAACGGGTTTTATTATTGTCGGCAAAATAATTTTTAGTGTCTTATATTCTATCAAAAGTGTAGATTAGTTTTAATATAAGTTGTTTTTTATTCTGAATAGCTTCTATACAAGATGAGTTTTAGGGTGTTGTTCCCGTTAATAATTTATTTAAAAATTTTGTTTTTGAAATATCATCTTGAAGAATTGTTGATGTATTACAGAGCCATAATTATTATAATTTACAGTATTTATTGGCTCCCTTAATTGGAAAAAAAAAATGAAGTTGCGTTTATGTTTCTCAAACATCTGAGCTAATTATTTTTTGAAAATAATTTATGTGAATATTTCATTAGTTGCATTATAGATTTCCATTAAGTATTTAAAGAGTTGAATATAAAATTCTATGTAGGGGAAAACGCTATGGCTATAGGGAGTATATTAGTAAGAGAGTAATTATGAACGAGAGGATAAACAAGATTTTGAAATTTTTTGGATGCTATCTACACCATGTGAATTTAAAGTGTAGTTTGTTCTTGTTTAAAGTATTTTTTAATGACTACTAATTTTCAGTATTCGTTGAATACCAGTACTTAATATCGAACCAGTATCCAGGTGTTCAGAATAATATTAATAATAATTTTTTAAAACCATAATTAGATTTTGAAAGATCACTATATGTTTGTGTCCTGAATAAAAAATATACGAAATCGTATCCGGTATTAAAGTTTGTAGATCTATTTATTTATGCTTAGATTTATATATTTTTTAATTAACATGAAAAGATTTAATTAGGTACTACATATATGTGTCTACTATACACCTAAATAAATTACTTTCAAGTATTAATTTTGTGGTACATTCCGAATTATATTTATTTTAATTTAAAAAATTGCGTTTGAGGAATGTTATGAATGTAATGTCATGTTGTCGAAGTGTCCATTATTTCTAGAAAATTCTCGATGGCACCATGTGGCCGCGTACATGGTTGATGATTCCTTGGTGATTAATAAGATAGTTATATCCTTACTGTCTTACAAGATTGTAAATCACTATAAATCGTTAACGTTTTTGAAAAAAATGTCTGTTATGTAATTTTAAGTCACTTAAGACTGAATTTTCCAAAAAAACTATTTTTCAATATTTTTTATCATATTTTTTTTTTTTTTTTGAAGCCATGTATACAATCCCTATATACTAAAATCAAAATAGTTTTTTGAGTACTTCAATACATTCATTTTTATAAACCGATCATAAATTATATTCATAAATAATATTCTGCTTCAAAAAAAATGAATTAAAAATGTATATTGTCATCCAAAAGAGTAGGTAAACAACTTACTCATTGTTAATGATAAAAAATAGTGAAAAATATAATTGTTTCCAACAATGTTGCTTTGTACCGTCTCTAAGTTATGTAAAAGAAATATTTTCAAAACCGTTAGAGTTTTCTGGAATAGTATTAATGTTTTATGCGTTAAATGAATCACCACGTTCTGAGGTGTTGGAATTTTTAAGTAGCCTCCTTCGTATTGTTCTCGATACATTTTTATTTACTTTAGTATTGTCGCTTAACGATTAGATAAGTAGTTCCAGGGTAACTTGTGACAAAAATATGAACCTAAACATATTTTATCAATATCTTTGAAGTTGAATTTTGAAAATCTCTACTTAGTGCTTGTCTCTGATAAGAAACCACTGTGCAAAATGTCAAGATTATAGACCTAGCTTGTTGTTTGATCTGTGCATGTCTGACAATCAGTTTCATCTTTTAGGTGTATTTAGATGTATACAAGTATTTTAAATTGAAGAAGACGTATATAATATAAAATCAAGTTTCCGAGCTACTCGTTGTACTTGTACAATTATAAAACGTATACTATATACCGTATTAATCGAAATAAACTCCAAGTTCAATTTATTTAATTGCAACTTTGTATTTTTATGTTTTTAATTTAGATAAATCCAATTGGATGTGTTTTGTGCGACCAGCAAAAACGAAACACGAACAGAACATGATTGTTGACCAAATCGGGGATTATCTTTATTTTACAACTACAAGAGCGATTTACCAACGAGAAGAGTTACTCGTCGGATACAGTACATTTTATGCACATAAACGAGGCTTACATGTATTACTGCCTGCAGGTCAGTAAATTATTATTATAACCGATCGATAACTTTTATTGTAGATACATTATAGTAATTAATTATTGTTTTTACTTTATATCGATTTACGGGTACTTATAGTACTCACAACAGCTGATTACCAACGTAAATAAAATAGTGTTTTTTGAGGCCTAGTGTGGCTCGGTGATTGGCTGCAGTCACTATGTGCGCTGCGGTCGAGGCATTGTCCGGTATCACTAACTCTCGTATGGACTCTCAAATGGCCGGGGTTTTTTATGACGAATCCTCCCCACACACTCACGTGTTTTTAAACCAACTGTTACCTCACGACAAAATGTTAATGGCCATAGTGAAGCTAAGGCCAATAAAAAAAAAGAAAGAAATTATATTTTAATTTTAACAGTTTATACTTTATTCCGATTTAATTACACAATACGCTGAATCATATTATAGTGCTATACGATTGCACTTAGGTGGATCGTGTACATGTTCTGAAATTCGGTTGGATATCAATAAATACAGGTAAAATGTTTAATTTTAGTCGCTTGATGACGAATATTGAAATTCATATTAAGATTTAATGAAAAAATTAATTTCAATAGTTCTATGTCTTTGTATAAAAACGTGATATTTTCAATTCGTTATCAATGGGTTTCTTCTTCTTATATATATAAATATATCATTCACGTATTCAATGGTTTTATGTAAGGTAAAACCTATCTACATCAAACGAGATAATATTCAACAAGGGGATGACAAATCGGGGTCGTGTAGTAGAAAATATTATCGAGTGCTTACTCCGTACCTGTAAGTTATGGACTCGAAAGATGCTCGATATTGATGATAGGCTTACACACGGGTGAATAATAATTGTTTGTGTATTAGCTAAGTCAAGCGTAGAAGGAAAGGTCCGAGCTTAAAGCTTTAAAAAAGATATTAAAGCCCATGTAAAAATGCAATGAATATATAATAATCGTTACAATTTGCATTACGCATTTAATCTTAAATATACTTGCGGTAACCGGTAGGTATAATACGTATATAGCTATTACTTGATTTATATTACAAACAGATAGTTATTAAATTCATGCCATATTATAATAAATTATAAGAACCGAGTGGTATACTGGTATCGTTTGGGTAAACTGAGGATGAAAATAAATAAAGGTTATATTATTTAGCAACAGAACTCAGAAAAGCTACAAGAACCAAAAAAATAATTAAAATAATTAATTTATAAGTTTTAATTCAAAAAATGTTCATTGTAAAAAATTGAAACATTCTACTATTACTCAAATCATAATTTTCCATACATGATAAAATTTCCAAAATATTTGGACTAATCTTAATATATTTGTACCATGAACCTCATCATGAATATTCTAAAAGTTATTGAATTATAAGTGTTGATTACAATAATCAATTATATAATATTATAATATTAAAGTTATATGGTACAATATATAGGTTGTGTTTTTGCGAAAATTAGATCAACTTACTTTTGAATAGAAAAAAAAATTACTCAGTGATAGTTATGTATAAATATATTATTATAAAATACCCTATTACAACTATATTTAAGCTAGTAGATGATCGCCGGTCATAATCGTTTTTTGTATGTATTGATTCGCTCTTTAATTTAAATCTCAGAAATCCATTGACCATAATTATATCTACTCACTCAATAACAAAGTACTCTTTATTGAACCTAAATTTACCATATTCTACATAAATTAGATGAATATATGATATATTCAGGCAACATGCTCCAAAATTACCAAATAAGATTAACGACATAAAAAAAACACATTTGCAATGTATTGCATAAACATCATTGAAGTTGATGTTATTTAAATGTTATGTTTTCAGAAAAAAAAAACCTGTGTGAAATCATTGTGAATCAATATACTCCTCGATTTGATATAAATATTGAAAAAAAATGAATTAAAATTGTTTTAAGAAAATTTCTAAAATAGTGTCGTTTGAAATTTTGATTTCAATCGATTTTTTTCTTATTTTGATTTGATTATCATCGTGCTCGATGAAAACTGCGATCGTGCTTACTATCCATACGTTCGGAACTTAATATAATATCTTGTTTGGTCTAAATCTACTTCAGATTTCTTTTTTTCATTAACACCACTCCCTCACCGTCGTGTGTAGGTAATAAAAAAAGTTGTAGTAGGATAAATCTTATTTATCAATTACTTTGATGTAATATACAGTAGATAATATTTTCAGTGTTCATATTTATATGTGTTAAATTTTGATTTTTACGTTACACTTGCCATAATCTTATATGTTTCAATGAGTTTTCATTGAGTTTATTATAATTTTAACGTATTACCTATTTATTGATTTTTTACACTCATACATTAGGTAGGTATAGGCGTACAATCATACAATCATATGCTATTATTTATTTGAAATTCATTATTAATCTTTTACTGTAATTTATTATTTTATATTATTGCATTTATATTACATTACTGTGGTTTTTTTTTTTATTTTTATTTTTATTTTTTTATTTTAGAACCATCAGCACATTACCGCGGTTATAAATAATCTATTGGTGCTGTATACCAAAAAAAAAATGTATTTGCGATAAGTTCTATGTAGTGTGTTGTTGGAGTAAATATGCAACTTATTTCTCAGTACAAAAAAAAAAATTGCAAAATTATAATTTCTCGGTAATTGCTATACCAAAATTGGTAGGGTCAAATTCACCTAAATGTTTCAACCGAAATTTTAAGTTGATGGGGAAAATTCTAGAAAAGCCACTTAACTACAAGGTTGGAATTTTTTTCACAAAGACTAAACAAATTGCAAATTAGTTGTAGAATTATGAAAAAAGGTTGAAGTTTATACGTTTAGGTGATTTGGCTTTACCAATATTGGTACTTGATATAGTAGTTACGGTGAAAATATAAAATTGCTAATTTTTTATGTTGGTTGCAAAATATTTTAAAAGTTTGGTGCAGTTATCATGTCAGAGGTTGGGCCAACTTCATGTTCATGATTCAGTTATGTATAAACATTTATGATATAATATATAAGAATAAGCTGTGGAATAATAACTATATTATTAGGTGACCATCCTTTTTTCTATGCTATTGTAGTATGGATACCAGATTTTACCATACATACTATGATATTTTAATAGAAAGCTTCATGATTAATTCTTTATTGGTTTAACTTGAGCTTATTACATATTTTAATCAAATTTACTGAAGACTTTACAGTCTGCATGTTGTGGATACTCTGCCACATACATAGGGACTGGCTACTGTGTCCTCGCACACGAGCAAGTCTGTCTAGCTAAAAACGTTAATGCAGCACATTCCTTTTGAACTATCGTGTCAGAGGCACAAATTTAGAGGTTCTGTTTATTGTATATATAAATATATAATATTAAAATTATTATATACACAGTGGTTTAACCTGTGAAACACGTTTTCGTTGAGCAAAACTGTCTTGATGATCTATCCAGATTTTAAATTGCATTCCAATAATCATGTATTCAATAAGTAGATATTACTATTTTAGTATTATCATATTGGCGTTAATTGTAATAATAATTATTATTTTAATATCTATAAAATACCTACGCATACGTATAATTTCGTATTTTGATATAGTGCAGTATAACAATGTGTATTTATCCTAAAGTCGAGACATAATTATTATTTTTTAGAAACTTAAAATTTAATTACAAACCATACGAATATTATATTATCTATTACAGTAAAATATATAGTATTACATATTTATACTTTATTTAATTTAGGTTAAATTGTGTGAGGGCAAGATGCATAGTTTTATATTAATATTAATACAAATTATTATGGTCAAACGTATATTTTGTATCGTGATTTGAATGGTAACTATAAAACCAGTTTTTACCGTTTGATAGTGATCGGAACAGTGCTCTTATAGACGTTATAGTTGCACAGTCGACAGTCTGAAGTTAAGATGAAATTAGTTCATAATTTCAAGTATAGATGAAATTAGTGCATAACATCCAATTTGTTTGTAGGTTTTTCAAATGTGCGTGTTTAAATTTTCTTAGATCTGTACCATCAGTAACATTGCTTGTATCCCCCTCTCCATGTAGGACTAATTTCCTCTTGAAAGTTAAAGACTTTAGTTTGTAAGTACTTAAAAGATTGTTTTTTAATTGTTTATGTTACCTTCATATCTTTCCAAGTTTTAAAAATCTCTAGTTTTTTATGTCGTTTATTCAATACGAACTGGAACAACTTGTAATAATTTCAATATCGTTAATTGAAACTAATGAACAATTATTTCAACAACTTTGTATGGGCACTGCATTTGTAGTCAACTTGCCAAGATTTAATGAAAACCAATCTGAAATTTGTTATAACCACTATTTGTTTGTCTTAAGTCTTAATCCATCCAGTATTTTTTATGACTATTTGTTTTGTTTAATATGCTGTGGGAACAATATCAAAATTTGCTTAAAACAAAAATTACGAAAATAGTTTTCTTGTGCTCGTGCATCTACATTTATTTATAGTTCACCTAATCGGATTTTTATAAGAAAATGCTTATAATATTAATTCGAAGTAGGTATAGGATTTTGGATACCAGGGTTTTGATCGGCCTTTTTCACTGACTTGTTATTAATGTTTTTAAGACGTTTGCTCTGTAAGGGATCATCATCATTTAACATATCCTTAACTTATAAGTTATATTCAACGTCTTTCCTATTTGACCACGTATTATAAACATTGTTCTTCGAGTATCAACCGATGTAATGAAAACGATTTGTTGTAAGTGTGTTTCTCGATTCCGATGAAATTCGTCATTTGTGCATGTACATTTTAATGGAGAAAGTACACTGTACTCACGATATCGTGAAATTAATTCTCCCTGTACAATAATTTGTTCTGTCACATCGAAGTAAAAAGTGTTGATAAATTATAGAGAGATAGAAATTTACTGATTTATTATCATAATACCACGGTAAAAAAACACGATGGGTGTTATAAATTTGGAAATGATTTCAATGTGAAAACCCGGTGTTAGCAAACACAGTATAATAAGACGTATAATTGAGATAAACGTAGAAATCGAATAATACACACATAGGCACTTATATTTATGTACTAATAAAAGTCGTAGCTTGTGTTTGGCTCAAACACATTGGCTGATTTATTTATTATTGTATAATATCATATCTCATATAATATGTACCTATTGTACCTGCCTACCATTTTGATTGTATGGTTGTACGTTTATACACTGCGCAGACACGATACACGCGGCCGAACGATATTTAATATTTTGATGATCGCGTATACTCCTCATTCATATTTCGCAGCGTTAATTCTGTTTTTAAATATACAGTCCATAGGTACTTTATAACGTTTCGTGAAATGTACACATCAATGTCAGATTTTGAGTCTATAATTTTCTCGTACGTTTTATAATAACGTTATAATTTTTGACTGCCTAGTAATAATTCATAATTAGGCGCCCATAATTTAAGTGGCGTATATCGGGGAGTGACCTAACAGTATATTAGTAGTTAATGTATATAATTTTCTACTATCTACGCATAGGTAGCCATCAACAGAATTGATGGTTCAATTCCTAATATTTTAGAACAGAACCCGACCAGAACTTTTTTTTTAAATTCAAAGAATACTCTATCCGCACCGTATTCTTAAAAATTAAAAAAGTATGCTAGTTTATGTAATTCATATATTTTATTATTTTCATTTAGATCAGATGACTAAATTTTAAAATGTTTATTTACAATAAAGTAACGTAGGTACCTCAATAAATCATAAATAATTTAGAATTTGGTTCGCGGTTTGAATTTGAAACGTCCAGCTCATAGCTTCTATAATGTTGTGTTATGTATATTCTATTTTATACTCCACTCGATCTCCATATTTATGGTCTTTTCTGCTTAACTTGCTTGGATATTACGGAGCTGCGGGGGAAAAAATTTTAATTTTGATAAATTTATTTTTGCTAATTATTGTGTATTTTAATTTTTAATCAATTGCTTTTATATAATTTGAAATATTGTACTGTCGACTGTCACTAAGACATTTTGAAAAAAAAATTTTTTAATTTTTTTTTATGGAAACTCATATTTAAATTTTATATTCTGAAGCAAACACATTTTAAAGAACATTTTTTTTAAAACATTTATTTGGAAAATATACAATCTGTAAGGGTAATTTAAAATAAGCATATATGCGTTGTTAATGTGTTTTTTTACTTGAATTTACATGGGTTTAAGGAACTACCCGTCTACCCAACAGTAGTACTTATGACGTGAGGGAAAGAACATTAATAATAATAACTATTTCCCGTAATAAATTTTGATTCATCATATTTAATGATAGGTACTTACACATTTTAGAAATTGACATTTAAATATGGGTCAAAGATTATTCAATACTAATATTAATCATAATATGATATTATTATATTATTATTATGATACATTATACGATATTATCGTAATTAAAATTTTTAAGCGTCAATAATGAATTTTGAAAAATGTAAAATGTAAAAATAGTATTAAATAAAATAAAAATTTTGTTTAGTTATCAATCATGATATTTCGCCTCCTCTTGCACGAAAAACGTTTAAATCACTGAAAATATCACAAGAGTTGAACAGACCGTCTGAACATTTTAGAAATAATTTATCGAGCAAAGGAAAAATGGTATGTGGTTAACGGATCCACTTAAATAGTTTTACTTAAAATTGTTGATTGTTTTCTTAGATGAGAACAATACCAACAACTTGCAAGCATATGACATTTAAAAGAAAATTATCCAATCGATTTGGTAAAAATAATGGACAGTGTAATCTTTGCGTCAATTCTCAGAATAACTCTAAAAACGCCTATAGAATGAAATTAAGATCGAACAATAACATTAAGTAAGTCATAATGATTGTGGTATTTACATAATATATACAGTGGTTTTGTGTTCTGAGTTAAGTGACAAATGCATTAATGTTATGATGATGTTTATTTTTATACTTAGTATTTTTGTCTGTTAGTACTAAAAATGCTTCGATCTCTAACTTCTATATCTTTTATGGTACAAAAGTAAATCCAATTTTTACTTTGAGGGGGATCAAAAGAAAAAAACTACCAGTACTTTTATGAGCTTTTTTAATTTAAATTTTTGCAATAATAGATATTTATAAGTAAACTAACGATTTCTCATCGAACTATTTTCTTATTATGTTGAAATACAAGCATTTTTTAAGTTGAAATTTGGATCAAATCAGATCTATTTATGGGCGTTTTAAAATTTTAAAATAGGGATATTATTATATTTTATACACACATTTTCAAATATAATGTTTTCGGAAAATATTAATTCAGCCTAATGTAATACGTATAGTAAATGAAAATTACTTTATAGTAATAATATCATAAAATATACTCAGTATTGTGGGATGACAGACCGTCTTCGCTCAGAATCATTTTTCGTATACAATGATTTTATATCTAACACATCCATTACAGAGACCCGCACGACATCTAATGTACATCAGAGGTTTATCCACTTTGCCCATATTTTTAAATTAAAATTATTAATAGTTTGCCCTTGTTTTATAATTAGACATATTTGGCTGTGTATGTCCTGTGATTTGAAATTTTCAAAACGTGAAACAATTTTAATACACATCAAATTGCACGAAGACGAGTTTGATGTCGAACAAGTAACATTAACCGATACCAGTTGTCCGGAATGCAATACTGTAAGTATTAGATATTTTTATTTTATTATTTTATTTGATGTATAGGTTATGACATATATTTTGAGATTTAGTGGAATGGTAGGTATAGATAATTTTTATTAAGTCAGGAGTCGTCTTTAACCTAAATTTTAGAAAATCCGTAAATAACTTGAGCCAAAATGTTGTGGTTAACACCAAATTTTTTTAGCAGTAGCTGTTAATGTTTGTCTAGTACTAAATTGCTCTAAATTTTTTTCACCAAACTTTTTATATTGTTATTGTTATTTTTTTAGGAGTTTCATCAAACCGAAGAACTAATTAAACACGTTTACGTGCACAGTTTCACGGATAACAGAATGGGCCTAGGTGGTACCTTTTACAACTGTTATCAGTGTGAGAGGAGATACAGGAATGCCATACATCTAAGGGTTAGTTGTTGCATGAATTATATTTAAATAATAATACATGTTCAAGTGTTTTGTTGGAAACGATTAATGTGGCTAATACAACAGCAAAAAAATTGTCTACTTTATATTTACAAATTGAAAAGTCTAATAAATTCTGTATGTTCTTTTAACGATACAAGTACCTACTAGCTCCTAAGTTGTATTACACATAAACAGTAAGCGTCAACCCTTGGACAATTAAATAGGAAATTGATTTGTTTCCATAAAATTGTTTGTATATTTGAATAATTAATGCAATTTTTGTTTACAATTTAATTTATTCCTTTTTGTCTGCCATTTTTTACTATTATCTTATATTTAAGTTTTCTCTGTTTAGGCTCATCAAACAAAACACAAGGAAAATGAACTCAAGCCTTACAAATGTAACATGTGCGATAAGCGTTTTTTGAACACTGTCGTTTTAACATGTCACGTGCGCACCCATTTTGGTTGGTACAATATTTAAGCATATTTTTATAGATTGTTTTTTCGTTATTATTATTAGTATTAAGAAGTTTTATATTGTTTAATTAGCCCATATAATTTCATCATTGATGCAATAAACGTTGATTACCAGTACCTATATGACCCCTTAAAATTCAACTACAATATGGCAATATGGTTATACAACACCACACATATTATGGTTAATTGTTATATATTTTAATGTATATAATAGTCATTATTATTTTAGTTTTTTTTTTTAAATACAATCATCATACTTGTGAATTTACGGTTTGAACGGAATAAAGTAATATAGGTACTAGGATTATAATATCTTTTCTGAATCTCCGTGTGTTGACAAAGTTCTAACGCTTTAGTATTCGAGGAACTAGAGTTGTCTTGCTGATGAAACTATGTGATTTCTGGAAACCCGCGTAATTATAATGACTTTATAGAACTAAATATGTCATATTATGCGAGATAGGTGCAGTTGTGTGGCAATCAACACAAAACACAATATTATTAGTTCATCGATTTAACTGTTATCATATATATAGAGATAGAAGGTTATACTTACATTCATTGTTATGTATATTAACCGTGAGAGTACGTTTAAAAAATACATTTTTTGTAGATTTTTGTTTTAACCGTTGACTTCTTAGAACAAGAATGCATGCTTATAGTGCTTATATAGCATCCTGTAATGTTTTGCACTATCTATTATCGGCGAAATGGATGTTATTGTTCGCACAAAAGTATGAAACTAACTGTGTAATAATATTTTATATTCATTTCAGAGGGTGTAATTTACGACTGCCCCATGTGTCGTTTGACGTTTGTCGATTTGAAATCATTAAAGGGACACGTATATTCACACGCAGTGAACAACATCTTCTATTGCCCGATGTGCCCACTCGTACGATTATTTTACTTATATTACATCGAGGGCAGGAGGGGGGCTCCTCTCTCTCAATTTAACTTAAAAAAACCATCTATGCTACTTATTAGCACGAATATGAATCGATTATTTTTAGATTCTGCATTACCCTTATTTACGATTTATTTATTAAATAGTACAAGGGAGAGCTTGTATAACGGTACTTTAGCTCACTTGTGTTATTTAATTAATCACTTTTATAATTCTCTTTTTACCAAAATTAAGCCCACCATTGGGCATTGGCATGATTTTGCATGGCGTTGGGTGTATCGTTATATCGAATTGTCTTATCAACAGCTTACCTTTTTTACTAGGAAATAATTTGGAAATAAATAAATCAAGTTCAGTTTCTTAGTTAATTTAGTATTATCTGAAATTGTTTTGGGTACATGTAAAAATGGTCAATAATAGGTGACCTTAAGATGTTTCTCTCAGTTTTTACGGTCGAATAACTTGAAAATGAGTATAATATGATAATTAAAAAAAATAGTTTAAATCATCAAAATAAGACCTAGGTCTGTTATAAAATTACTTATTATTTTATAATATAATTTGAGTATTTGTCTATACTGTACGACTATTATGCATCTTATGATCACGTTAGTACATTGTTGTATTTACAAATTTTGAAATAAATGATAAATATGTAAGGCATCTAATAATAATAATAATAAAAAGTTGAATCGTATAATGTACATATATATATATATTATTATCTTTTGCTTACAATGCTAATGTAGAATAAATCAAATATTAGTAATGTCCAGTGCATCCCTTAGTAAGAAATGTGAGTTGTTGATGATATAAATCGATATAACGTTACAACAAATATCACAGAAATTCATGCCAATGGCATACAAATTGTTGGTAAAAATTAAAAAAAAATATTATTGCTTTACTCTTGGTTGATTTAATAATGTTACTTCACCATGACATGATTTAATAAATAACTCGTAACTAAGGGCTTCTCAAAATCCAAAAATAGTCGTGAAAATTCACTCTAATGCATGCTAATTACTGGTTTTTTTTCAAATTTTAAGAGGGGGAGGCAGTGCAATGCACGTGATTATATTATTATGCCTACTATTTTATTATCATCAATTGAGTAGATGTACGCGATTGTACTTCGATGATTGATTATAAATTGTTTTGTTATTGTTTTTTTTTTACCCAGCAATTCAATACTTATAAATTGATCAGAAAGCACATCCGAGCCCGGCATCACGGCATTGAGTTTGGTTGCGAATATTGCAATAGTTCGTTTAATAGTCGTTTCAATCTCAACTTACATATGCTCAGGTATTTATTGTGAGCATTTCTGTGTGCGAAATCTATAGAGTTCTATACGAGCATATACAAATGATTTAGTGCTCAATCGTTGGTATATACATTTTATAAATTTGACGTTTATTTAATTCGCAGTCATTCGGATCAAAGGGATTTTTTATGCACTATGTGTGGTAAACAGTACAAGAGGAAAGACAAACTTAAGATACATATGAATAAAGTTCATTATTCCAAGAAAAAGCCATCGAAAACTCAATTAAAATTAGAAGCCAGGGCGGAGAGAAAAGCACAACAAATTCAATTGGTAGTAATATATATTATTAGTAAATGATAATAATTTATTTGAATACCTACCTATCTTATGCAACGATCAAAACATTAAACATATTACATTTCTGAAATATGTTATATTTTATTCAATTTATAATTTAGTTGATAAAACTATATGTATAAAAACTCCAGGCTTCAGACTAATAATGAATTTAATTACTGTAGTATTCGTGGTTATTTTAAATATATAATATGCTATTTTAAATATTTCATATTGTATACATTTCGATACACTTTATGTGCCTATATTGAATGAACTAATTATTTTTTTTTTTTAGAAAACAACGAAATCAATGTTGGAGTACGAAAGTTCAGAATTTAGATGTGATAAATGTTTGGTGGGTTTCAAAAGAAGAGGCGTTTACGTAAATCATTTGGTACTGAGACATCCTGAGATAAATCTTGATTCCGTGCCTTCACTCAACCAACCAGTCGTACCTAAAGCCAAAATGTACATGTGTTTGTACTGTGATAAAGTAATCATATGACACATCATAATCTATTTCCGTGATAGGGGGATTAATTAATTGTTATAACAATATTTAAATTTGCTTCAGATATACAAGACTAACGCTAAGCGGAAATCGCACATACTTAAAAATCACCCGGATTGCGAACTCCCCGAAAAACCGACTGATAAAGTAAGTAGTAAAAATAATGATACAGTATTCTTAGAAAAACGTTTAATTGTTACCAATTGATGAACATTATATTTGTTAATTGATCAATTAATTATTGGTGTGTTCAGACGGTTACCATTGATGACGATCCACCCAGTCAAATGGATAGTAGCACTGTCGCCACTGCGTCGTCTCAGGCGCACAGTTGCCAGTGGTGTTACAAACAGTACGTGTTAAAAAATAAACTTTTAAGACACCAACGGGCACATCACTACCATTTGTTGCCTCCGTCCTTACAAGAACCCCAGCCATCGAAAAAGCTCGGACATAAAGTAAAAAAAACAGAGCAACCCCCCCAAACAGTTAACATTCAGTTTACCGGTAAGTATATTTTTAATTTACACAATAGTCTATTTTTTACATTTATATAATAGTACGATAGTGTAAACCTTTGTAGATTTACTCAATATTTATTTGTTTTACGTTGTACAGTTAACAATTGGTATTTGGTAATACAAAATATTTACATTATATTATATCATCTTATTTAATAATTAAACGATACAAGCGAAGACAGAGGGTCTGTATTAACAATAGTATTCAAACGCCTAGATTCATTTATTATTAATTTTTACTCATATGGTTATAAGTTATAACATTTTATGGTATACTGTTCTTGGCTTTTTCTAATAACAATATAGTCCTAACCTTAATGTTTGTGGTATAAATATCTTCAAAATAGTTTAAGTATTTTGAACTGCATTTTGTATGAATAATAAAAAATTCAAATCCATAAAAAAAAATTGTATAGCCATTGTAAGATAAATTTGAACGGGATTCAATATTTAAATGCAAAATAATGATTTTAGCTATGTTGCTGTACCTTATTAAAAAATATTTTTAGTGATTGAAACCTTTACGTATAATTGTATTTCATATAGGTACATGGTTAAATTTTCAAAACATTTAGATTAATTGTATGTTATAACTGCTATTAAATCACATATATAGTTTATACCTAATTCCTAATAAAATCAGTTACTTTAATAATTAATATCAATACATGTATGTGATAATAGATTGACAGACCTCAAAATCGTTTTGAATTTGGTCACCTCCATTACAGTAACTGAATAGTTTGTTAATGACGAGTTGCACTCTACTTCTACAACTGTACAGCAGAACAGTTACCAACTTTTCTTCTTTTTTCCCTTTACCTGTTTAAGATTTCCAGTACAATCTGTTATGTTAAACTAGTGTGCGTTTATCGATCTCATCATTGAATACTCACCACTGAAATGCGTAATTTCCCTATTGTAAATTTGTACTATTCAAAATTTATGTATTAATACATAAGAATTATATAAACATTTATCAATAGTAATACTTTAACAGTGTTTACAACATCAATGTCTAAGGCATAATGGTATTATTTTTAAAAGTCATTAGACTCCAATTTGTATATCTATAATACTCTATACTTACGTTTAGCAAACTTTTGCTCTGACCCCAACGTGTTATATCAGTGTTCAGCAATTAAATTATCATTTAACTGAATTAATTACATGGGTATTTTGGTACCTCGAGGAATGAAATGTGTGCAGCATCCATATCACGTACACATGTGGCTATGCACTAACTAAATTATTTGTGTCCAGTATAAAAAGTCGTTAAAATTAAACATTATACTTAATTATATTCCTGAAAAATAAAAAAACAAGACAAAACGGGTTTTCGAGGGTTATAACTTAGCGGGCTGTACCAGCCACAAGAAAAAACAAATATGAAAATTTTTTTACAAACCTTGTCTTTAGTTTTTTGAATCTAAATTATTCAAAATTATGATTGGACCACGATAACTAACTTAAATAACCATAGGAAGTTGTAAAAACATGACATGTACTTAAAAATGTTATTACTTTAATCAAATTAAATAAGGAATATTTTATGAATAAATTGTCCACTAATTTATAATGTAGTAAAAAAATTATCAAACTCCTAAAGCGGATAATAGAGACTCCCTTTTAGATTTTTATTTTTGTGTCCCTGGGTCTTTATTAATTTTTTCATGTCGCATTATTTATTGTGCTTTTGACAATATTGCCCTAAATTGTATTTAATTATTTCCTTTATTATCCTCGGAAAATTTAATTAGAAGCGCCATGATAGATTGATAATGTGCTTTTGAATGGTTCGCCCACGTCCTTATCGTTTAGTATTTTCTAAAAAAATACCTCTTTGATAAAAATTCGACCAAAATAAACCTATTTTGTGGAAAAATAATATGTCAGACCGGTCCGTATTGTTCTGTATGCTTGTAAACGTGTCAGTGTATTTCTGAAGTCTCATTGACTGCAATCTAAATTTATAAATCACTGCAAGCATTGACGTTGCCATATTATTAATTATTATCAATCGTGTTCCCGAGCTTAAGTGATACTATCGACAACGCCTGGTAGTGAAAAGGGAGGACATGTGCTATTCAATTTTCAGTTAATCGAGTGCGCAAAGAAATAACAATCGTCAAGTATGCTTGAACGTGCACACTTGTAGCAGTGCAAAGGCACAAGTAGACAGTGTAGTTTTGAATTTGGCCTCAGTCCGAAGCGAGAACACACGAACACTTGAACCCGTGTGCGCTGGCTAATGTGTTATTTTATTAATAATTATCGTCATCGTTATTTGCATTTATGTGTGTTTCAGATACAGATGGTTTCGAATTAACGGCCACCGACATACAGCTGGACAATCCAATCGAACCGGGCAGCATAATAGCCATCAAACGGCCCATAAAAGTAAGCCTGGTGAATACTGTTTTATATACCGATCGATTGAGCCGATGCGGATTACAACGAGTGTAATGATATGCAATAATATAAACGTGCGTGTATATTGTACAGAGTGAGCGGGACCCCAGTCGGATTAATGGTTATATATTATATTTCATACGGAGCGTTAGCATGAACGAATCCAAAAGCGCTGTCCCTTCATAACGACTGGTTATTGGTGGTGTGTGTGACAAATTTGGGGATTAAGTGCTTCAGTTTACTATTTTTTTCGTTTCGGTGGTTGTACTATCAGCACTGGGTCCAATTTTCCATTACCTCATAAAACGCGGTTTTTTCTATGCATTTCAATAATTTTATTTTTTTAAAAAAAAAAAACACCACAACACGGCGTTTTGAATAGGCTATCTAGCTACACTGATGGTCATGTTCCCGTCTCTCATTAATAATATTTTTTAAAACTTTTTTATTGTCTTTCTCTGACTTAGAACAATTCCGAGTACATGACGCAGGCCATGCGAGACTTGGGCTTGAGCCCGGCTGACGAAGGTCTGAACGAAGAACAGTACTATCGGATATTGGACACGCAGGGTGACGTGGCTTATGCTCAGGCCATCGATCCACCGGTCGCCTTACTCACGTTCGACGGCCAGACCATTCAACAGGTGCTGTCATCTTGCGTTCCGGCTACGTTACCGATTGCTGACCACTGCGCGACAATGACGACATCGACCGGAGGCAATTGCACGACGACGAGTGATGGTCTTCAGTAGCAACACCATGATGACCACTGCCGTGCGATCGTGATCATCGCCTTCCCCAGCCGTTCAAGACCGCCCTGTGTATGTTAGGCTAGGACGTGGCAACGCAAGTTCGGTCATGTCGAGACAAGAATTCCCTGAGTATCGATCTTCCATGTTTCTTGCCGAGCCGTGTATCGTTTTAATAATATTATTCCTCTCCCCTTCTCGCGGATCTGATAGAGCGACACAACTCTGGCCTTGGTTGTTGTTTGTGAAAACTTCTGAGTCGTGTCGTGTTGCGTGCTGACGTATAAATAAGTGTCACAGACTTTTGGTCGGTTCGCAGGTCGAATATGAATTAGGGTATAAACTTAAAAAAAAAGTATTACAAGAGTTTCGAACTAAACTCATACATATTATATATATATAAATATCTAATTTATGTACGTGTTTGCCGTTAGGTATAGATATAGGATAGGACGTTCCTCTTGCTTTTGGACTTTTTGTCCTTAAATACACAACATTTTATTTTTATTTGGGCAATTTTCCTCGTCAGTGTGATGCGGAACAAATATAATTGCTGTAGCATTTACTGGCCTACTCTATGTATCGTATGTTAGTGTTTTCACGATCATACTAATATAATTATAGTATACGACATAATCATAATATTATGATTATGTGTTCCGAATCACAAGTTCCTTGTTTAAAATAAAATTGTGATATTATTGTTTTTATTTTTTATTCTTGCATGCTTTCTTCGGTGTCTCTGTACAATTTATTGTTTTGAAAATAAGTCTAAGCTATTGTTGTTTTGAAGTTTTCTTTGAATATACAGAGTGTGTCATAATAGTTTCACAATTTTATATTAAAATTACATGTAATAGTATGACACATTTTCAATGATCTTCTCTTCTGCTCTATACATGAAATCTATAAACTAATAATTAAATAAATAAGTAACTTATTATATTGTTGTACATCACCTTTATGAAACTTAATAATATTCGATACACATTTTACTTAAAATATTTGTCGAAAGTTTACCTTCTTCACATTCACTTTATCTAGTCGTATTTTAATATAACTGAAAACTATTATGGAATTGAGCTTATTATTGGTAAATTGTTAATATAGATTTATTTTGAATCATATGTTATTTAATGTGCATCAGTTTAATTGTTTGTCTATTGCCTACATAAATGTGATGTTAATTTTTAAATTATATAATTACATAATGGAAAAGAAAAGAAAAAAATACACTGCCTCATGGTGTACTAATTACATTAATAATGCATTAAGTCGGACATCCAACACAATGTTTTGGTTGTGTAGTAGTAACTTAATATAATTCTTTTAATGTCTAAAGTTTTGGTAAAATAAAATAGCGTTATTTTATTATATCGGTAATGTGTTGTAGGTAATTATTTATTAATTTGGTGCATGTTATAATAATTTAAAATTTCAAGTCGCTTTTATGCAAAATGACTATGGTTTTTTTGTAATGTACCTATATTAATTATGTGGAATATTAATTAAATTGAGAAATATACCATTTTTATAACGAAATATTTGTGTTTATTAAAATGCATTATCTATAATAAATATTTTTGTACTCAATTTAATTAATTAATTTTTAAAACCTCTTATCCTCTGATTTGTATAAAATAAAAATCATAATCATAAAAATATTTTTTTTAGGATTTATTGTGAAGAATACGTTTTATATTATTATACAGTATAATAATGTATCTAATATGTACTGGTATCTAAGAGTTAGGTTCCTACCTTAAATACGTTTGTATCTTGTATCTTGTTTCTTTTGATATTTGTTAATTTTACCTTGTATCTTTACCATCTAGATAGTTTATTTTTTAGTTTGATGTTGTATATCTAAAATATCTTGCATATTTTTTTTGTGTTAGGATATTAGAGAAAAATGAAGAAACGCTTTTTCGAAATTTAACAAAAACTATTACCTAACTTTTTCAATTAAGTTTTTAAATGTAAGTACCTTATTTTATTTCCATAGCTGATTGACGGTCTCACAGAATAAATCATAAATCAAGTTTGAAACGATGTGTATAGTACAAATTATTTTTGAATTTCTTATAAAAAAAACACAAAAACATAACTAGGGATTATATGCAGATAATGTTATATTTTGTAACTAAAGGTAAAAAATCAAAGTATCTAGTATATTTTTGAAAATTGATCTTGTAGTCTTGTCTCTAGAGGTAAACTTTGATATACCCTTTTTTTCAAATATCTCGTCTCTATCCTCGTTATATAGTGATATAAATTTAATATTTTATAGTACCTACTGATGTGTTGGGGAAGTAATGATCACCCCATTTCCTTATGTTGACAGCGTAACGGAAATACCTATCTATATTGTATTATTATTCATTGGAATACTCGTCTTCACTGTTCAGTACCATATATTAGGTACACATATAAGGCTGTACTTGTCTAGTAAATCGTATAAAAAACAGTTACTCGTCGTAATGCAAGGCTTATATTATGCAGAGCCCTGTAGTCTAAGTAGAATTTTTAATTTAAAACTATCCCCCGAATTCGTTTATAAAAATATAAATTTCAATTAAAATTTGATCAAAAGTCTTTTTGGAGTAATGAGAAATGTTAATTCATTAGGTATTAATGTATTATTCCGGTCTCTGATTTAACATAATCATTTATTCGGTGCAGTGTAATAATATTATGATGATATATATGTGTGTGGCTGCGGTGGTCCGTCCGAGTGAAGAGGTTTAGAAAGGGAGTAAATGATGAATACCTATCTCCCACTTGTACCTACCTGTCTGCTTTTCGAACCAGCCCTTGCGCACATCAACGTGAAAAGGCTTTTCAGCACCCGTTCATTACAATTATATGTCTGCTACCTGCATACCATTATAACGTGTATACCTGTCCGCTGACCGATGGTAATATTATTAGTGTGTCTGTGTGTGTGTTACCAAAAAGAAATTGTAATTAAAGAATAAAACCATTAGTTGACATTAAGACGTGGCGATAGACTTACAAGTATGCCATTATAAACTCAAACTTAATATAACGATACAGAGGCGAATCTGCGTCGGCGGGACTTGATTTGATTTTCTCGAGCCGAGTTGATGCAAATTAATGTAATATTAATAACAGTTAAATATTAAAAGTATCAGTTGTATGACTAGTACATTATAGTTCCCTTTGAAAAGTTTTAAAACACACCACGCCCTATCACCCTTCACTCGTGGATTTGTTTGTAAAAGGTTTGCATTTGCCAGGAATTTTTCCATCACTGAGCCAATATTTTTTGGTTCATTTGCGGCTGACGAATACATTTATATAATAAAATCTAATACTTTTTTATTAAAATTAATTAGAAATAAGATTTTTTTCAACGACTTAACTATTTGGTACCTATTCACATAAGCATTGGGGTAATAAATAAGACTCCATACACTAAAACGTTATAAATAAAACCGAGTGGGCCAGTTCGGGGCCACTGACCTTTATTTGCCCACTCTCCTTGGCGGCGTGCCTCGCACTAGCTGTTCCATATTTTTCTTTTGAGGATATACTCACTATAACAATATGCACTCTCAACGATCAACAAACGAACGCGATGGGTGCTCACACTATACATCACACTCAGTATAGGTAGGTTGTAAGAGAACGAGGCAGATATGTCACGAGTGTGCCATTTAACGGTGCCATCGTGGCTATTATTTCATCATCTTTAACCGTGACTTTGTATAAAATAAATGTGGTACCTTTATGTGTTGGTATAGTTAGGTATGGCATGCGTGTGATGGATGCTGTGCAAATATTCTCGGTTTCCAAACATTTCATTTGGATGCTTAGCAAATATGTACCTGATATTATTCCTCCGTACTCAATATTGGTAATGTCAGAGGCGTGTGCCTAGGTATAACCGTCGAGTATTATATTTCAATAAATATATATATAATATTTACTCTATGGATATACCCCATGGATAATATATTACAATAATATAAAACACTGCAGTAGGTACCTGTAAACGGTGATTCACCAATCATGACCATCCTCTTTTGTTTCTTCAATAAAATGCAGTTTTTCAAAATCTGAGTTTTGGAATTTTGAAATATAAATACTTAACCATTGGATTTTCAAATTCTTGAGATTTTTTGTACTACTATTAAGAAGTGTTCTGTGTAATTAATGCAAACTTATATTTTTTTCTGCAAGTTAGAATTTTTCTTTTCTGCTGCAAATCATTTAGCGTATAATTTTACTGAAAATTTTAGTGCATCAAAATCAAAACTTGAACGATTAGTTTGATTAACTTTCCGTAATAAGTAATAAGGATAATAAGTCAACGATGTTGATTTTGAAAGACATAGGGGCTATATGGAGAGTTGAACATTTCAGTAATCAATATTAATCTATCAACATTTATAATTTGTAAAAATGGTCCAAGTAAAATAAACACTAGATGTCTAGAATCTAGATACAATATTTAAAATTGTTTATTTTATATTTTTGTAAAATAATTTTCAGGGACTATTAGCATAAACATTTAACATTTTAATAACTGAAAAGCTACTAGTTAAAAATTATCAACAAATTGTCCACTAAATACTTTAAATTTCAAATGAAGGGGGTTTTCATTTTAAACAGGAAGTTTGTGTCGCTCCAGGATGCTCCCTAAAAAACTGAGGTACGAAAATTCTTAAGAATTTGGTAAATATGGTGTTCAAGCTTATTAAAAATTCCGCAAATCAGTATTTGAATAAATTCATTATAAAATAAAAAAAATGGGGTGATCATGCTTCGTAAATCACCCTAGCTGTATACACATGAATTGTCATGATGTAGTACATAATATTAATATGCATATGGTATCACGGCATGAGAGTACGAAAAATGTCGAAAAAAAACAATATATTTTTAACGTCGGTATTTTTTTTTTATTGTAACACCTGCATTATATGTTGGGTACATCATTATATTATATTATAGTATTATACTGCACATATTTCGTTACCACGGTTGTAGACAGAATCGATCTACACTCGTGGTTGTGACTACTGAAAATTGGGTGCGTTTCTCTGTGCACCAATGGTACCTAATATTTGGAACACAACACACGTGACATCCTTTTTCATCCGTCCATGATACGATAACATTTTACGGAAGCAAAATGCGTTAATAATAATAATAATATT